TATTGCTATTATTACTGATATGATGTAATTACTAAACACCATATGACGTAAACCATAACGAAAAGGGCTAAATTAAGGATTCAAGCATGTTTAATATGTCTCCCACTTTTGACTAGTCATATACCGCTCGAGAGAAAAGGACTGGCCTCGTACACTATCTGTTATTTCTATTGGCAGTATCTTTATTTTTCCTATTTATCCATTTTACAATAAAACTACGTGGAAAATATTTCAGTCTACGTTCAAATAAAGTAGAAATGCAAATAATTCTTAGAAAATGGAGTATAGTTCTTTTAGGGGGGGCTATTTTAAGGAAGAGCAATTGTAATATTGTTCACAGATGTTGGGTTTTGAGCAGAAATCTTCTATTACTTTTTGTGTTATTATTCCCATCGATGTTACGAGGTGCAATCGCCATTGCATGGTGGTCATTATCAGCATCATTATCAACATAATTGTTGTTGTCATTGCCATTATTCTTGCTGTTATTATCATTGTCGCTATCATCATTATTATTAATACCATTTTCTTTATCAATATTATTACTATTATTATCATGATTACAAATATAATTACTATTATTATCATCATTGTCATAATTATTGTTAATGTTATTATCAATATCATTATCATATTTATTAATATCATTATTATTATAATGTTATCATCATTATCACCATCATAATTATTGTTGTTGGTATTATCATCAATGTTTCAGATACTGTTATAATCATTTTAAAAATAATTGTTGCCAATATTACCATCATTATATTATCATTATTGGTATACTTATTATTTTCATTAGTATTATCTTTACTAGAATCATATTATTGGTACTATCGCATTTCTCATTATTGTCATGACTGTTATCATGATCATCACTATCATTGTCAATATCATAACATAATACTTATTTTCATTATAATGACAATAATCATAAAGATTATCATTTGAACTGTGATTTGTATTAGTAACGCTGTCCTATTATCAGTTCATGTTATCAGTATCGAACTTCCCCAGTTTTGTGAGTATGAACGACACACTGACATCCAGCCACAACGTCCATACTTACTCCTCGCCCCCATTCCGGTAGCATGCAGGATAAGAGGCGCCCATGGTAGCAAGACAGCCTGCGATGCCGTCAGGAGGAAGAGGAACACGTTGACTCGCCAGCCGCCCTTCACGCCCACGCCCATCCCTCCGCCCATGGTCGCTCCCAGTGGTGTAGAGAAGCGTCAGAGTCGGCGGGTCAAAGCAGCATGGCCAGCGAGGACAGTTATGAGGTTCTTCCCTGCGCAGTTGTTCACTCGAGTTTGCAAGTGTTCATGAATGCGACGTTTTTGACTCAGATTCTCATGACAGCCTGCAGTTGTCGGGCAGGACACACCGGCGCCGCAAACAGGTGATCAGGCACGCAAGAGGGCGAGAAAATGCGCACTCCGCTTACACCGTCGGCCCTCGAGAAGTGTCAAGTGTCTTTTCCTTTACCGGATACTTCAGAATTTTCTGGTCGCCTCATAGATGTCGTCGGGAAGAATGGTTGTGAATGTCTTTTTAACACCTGAAGAAGACCGAAAAGAGACTTTAATTATAATCTTATCTACTCATCTATTTACGTATCTATTCTTACTGCAACGCTTTTGGTTAAGCATATGTAGAGAGAAAACGAGCTGCATCATCTGTGATTTGTTCACAACTCTTCGCGAGTTGTATGCGATTTCGTTATGTACTTACTTATGTACTTATGCTTTACTAATGCCTTATCTAATCTTGCGGTTTAGTACAAATCCCTAGATCTTAACTGAATAATGAACGAGATAGCGACTTGCACAGATACGACTTCACAATGTTAACTTTCTTCACTGTAAAAGAGACGGCGAAGAGAAATGATGCTAGCAATACTAAACTACTTTTGGAAATTTTGATTGTTAATGAATCATCATTTGTTCTTGATCATCGCCGTCTGCATTTTACTTCTTCACAATTTGGGGAATTCTAAACACATTCATGAAAAAAACGTCTGGCTTACAATACCGCAGCACATTGTACTCCATTTTCTTCACTGCTAAGAAATACGAAACAGAACAGTCTTAACACTGTCGTATAACACACACTGTATATACAGTATGAGCGATACATTCAATCTTAATTATTTAATCACCTGGTATAACACATAATAACATCTGTAGCGTAAATTATAGCCTCACTTTCACAACCAAACATGTTCAGCACCACAACCAACAGACTACAGGGTATGACTGGCGTGTAACTCTGGAGAGGATGTGTTACCCTGATCCCTTTTTTCAGCAAGTTCAGGAAATCGTCACCACTTCCGAACTTTTATCTGAATCTTACTGATAACAGGATTGAGAAATAAGGCTCCTATTTTCTCCACGTCAACGTACGGAATCCCTTATTTTGCGTTGCTGGGTGGGATTCTCTGCGCCGATATCAGCAATGAGACGAACTGAGGTGACATCTTTGCCGAGTCTATCAGAGGAAGTCAGAGAGGATGTCAGTGCGATAACGGGATGGCCTCTCCCACGCGTGCGCAACCGACTCTGGGAAAATCTAAACAGGAGAAATAAGTACATAGACTGAGAGAACAGGGAGGGAGGAAGGGACAGAGAGGGGAGAAAGAGAGAGAAGAGTGAAAGGAGAGAGAGAGAGAAAGAGAGAGAGAGAGAGGAGAGAGAGAGAGAGAGAGAGAGAGAGAGAGGAGAGAGAGAGAGAGAGAGAGAGAGAGAGAGAGAGAGAGAGAGAGAGAGAGAGAGAGAGAGAGAGAGAGAGAGAGAGAGAGAGAGAGAGAGACAGAGAGAGAGAAATAGAGAGAGAGAGAGAGAGAGAGAGAGAGAGAGAGAGAGAGAGAGAGAGAGAGAGAAGAGAGAGAGAGAGAGAGAGAGAGAGAGAGAGAGAGAGAGAGAGGGAGAGGAAAGAGTGAGGGAGGAGGAGGGGGGAGAAGAGAGAGAAGAGAGAGAGAGAGAGAGAGAGGAGAGAGGAGAGAGAGAGAGAGAGAGAGAGAGAGAGGAGAGAGAGAGAGAGAGAGAAGGAGAGAAGGAGAGGAAGAGAGAAGGAGAGAAGGAGAGAAGGAGAGAAGGAGAGAAGGAGAGAAGGAGGAGAGTAGAGAGGGGGAGAGGGAGGGGAAGAGGAAAAGGGAGGGAGGGAGGGAGAGAGAGAGTGAGTTACCGAGCGTTTTTTTTCAACGATAAGTCGTAACTTGAACTTCTCTTCCCGCACCTCCGAGTTCGGATAATCTACAACTTAGTCGCAAGTAGAAACGGACGATATGTATCGTTTGGAAATCAGCGATATCGCATGGCAAATGTCTGTAGCCAGATAAGAATACTCAACTACATAAATAATTATAATAACAATATATTTCAATTAATATGATTTTTATAAAATATTTTATTTTATATCCTTATTTTCTTTTTTACACGGAAAGACATTTGAAACTATCCGTCGTCATAATTGTTTACATATGATCGTCTTCCAAGTTTCTTAACGAAGCTGGCCTTTTTTTCATTTTCCATTGACTTTAATCCACTTTTACTTTCTCCGCAACCACGAACAAACCAACAGTCATTTTAGTAATCGTTGAGCCTCCAATTCTACGGCAGATAAAGCGGATAAGCGACGGTTCGGTTCTCCCCCTGTGACCAACATGAAATCGCCCGCAGGGTCAACTCCGAATGGCGGATCATATTACAAACGAGCTGCTGAAAAAAGTGTTCGTGTGGCTGTGCCTTAGATTAGAGAGCATGGAAGTAAGGGAGGGAGGGAGGTTGGGAGGTTGGAAGGGAAATCTAGATCATAAAATGAAATACTAAGAGTTTAAGTAACATTCTAATTTCTTTAAACCAAGAAAAAATCATATCTAGCTACTAAACAGGAGTTATAAAATAACCAACATAAAAAAAAAACATATAAGGTGAAAATATTCCCTTGAGACAAGAAACATCCAACGTGTGAATAAATTTTCAAAGATATCGCAAATGCAAACGCCACACACACAAAATTCGATAGCCTTTGAATGAACAAAGTTCAAATAAAGATGACTAAAGACATGAAAGACACAAGATCACTGCATCCTGTTTGCGGGACAACAACACTTCATATTCAATGTAGGTCTGAACAAAGGCAACTGTGTTTATTTTTGTTGTCTGACCTTTTAAAATGTTTACGAGACGTTGTGTGTTGAAATAATGTAGCCATCAGCTGAACAGACCGTATGATGCAAAACCGACAAGGAAAGTTGATGTTGATGCACTATCAAGTCCTTCCTTCCGAAACAAAATTTATCTATGTTTTTTTTTTCTCTCCATCCTATAACCGTTACATTGCATTCTATTTGCATGTCAGTATCAGTCCTTATGTGCAGATATGTTTGCATATTCACGCAAAAATTCAAAAGTATGAAGTAGATAATCCTATCATTACTAATTTAGAGTATCCCTAAAACGTCGCACGTCGATCACTTTCTAACAAGAGAAACACAGGAACACGTAGAATTTTCAGAATTTGGCAGAATGATCTTTTGCCGGTGTCATTTCCAGAACATAGAGGTCAAAACATGAATAACTCTGGGATCCAGGCTCTGTATATATGCTTTTTCACCTTCCAACATCGTACTTTTTGGACACGCATAAACCTTCAATGTATTTTCAAACTAACCACAAACGTGCTAAGCGTAGTTCAGCATCCTTAACGTGACAGCAGAAGTGATCACGCCAAGGCTACAAGAGTGACTAATCCAATGGCCGATGAACCGCTGTGGACAGGTGACTAGGCCCACAAATGTTTCTGACTGTTTCGTTTCTCACTTAATATTTTCGTCATTTGATTATGTAGGAAATGCACATCCGATCTGTAGACTTAGCATTCTATTATTAGAATCACCAATGGAAACATACAGTATGAAGTTTACAAAATACTGTATTTACACATATAGGAGGGATAACGATATCGTTTGAGTGATAAATGCGAAAATACTCCATCGATCCGTACCAGCATATCACACGTGTAACACCTGCGTGGCCCTCAGGTGTGGCGCGGGCAATGCCGTTCCCCCTCCGCTAACGCAGTAGCGCTCCCACCAGCATTTTGACACCTCTGTGGCAACTGCATCAGTGTTCATGATGAATACCACGACACAGTGCTTCGCTGCCAACAGTCTTCCTTGTCTTATCAGTGCTTTGATAATTCATTCAACCTTATAACGCCCATAAACGTGTTTCCATTCCGCTGTCCTCATTAATTTTGAAATGACGTCGTTAGTAGTGCATTGACTCCTTACCGTTATAAAACCCATGATATAATGTGACATCACAAAAGAAAGAACCAAGACCATAAGAAAAAAGTACTGATTAGCCATCGTAAATGTTAAAGTGGTTACGCCATATTTTCATGTGCTGTGTTTATCGTAAAATATCGCAACATAATCTACTGGGACTAGCATTCACATGGCGAATTCACTAACGCAGTTCCTGTCATCTAACTCCCAGTAATGCTACAAGACTGAGAACGATAATAACGCCAATAATAAGGCAGGGACGTGCAAAAACTTTACGAGTCCAGCAGATTTATTAAGCCTTTGTTGAGAAAATACCAAGTCACGGGGATCTACTTTCATCAGCGAAGAGACCGTGATGTCATTCCAGGAGCACCTGTTTCCAGAAGAACATTGGTCTCATCACTAACAGAGCTAAAAGTCAAACGCTGTGATGAACCAGCTTCCATTGTAAACGTTTTTTCGTTTCACTGTCCCTGCTGATTCTGAAGAGCCTGTCGTCCAAAATGCTCAGTACATCTTACACAACCACTCCGTCATATGTGTTTACGTTACTCATTACGTCCATGTGTTCCACAAGGCTAAACTGCCAAGATTCTACCATTAAATATGTGCATCACATGTAAACACCGCTAACAGCTACAATATTTTGTGTAAATAAATATAACAATAATACAGTCTTATTCTCAGTCCTTAAGAACCACATCATAAATACCAAGTTCACAATACTACTTTGACTTTATAATGATTCTGAAGAGCTTAGCATCCATTATACTACTTCATATCCTGGGTACACAAACAACCCTAACATAAACAACTCATTATGAAATGGGTCAGTTCAGTCGTTAATATACTTCGGCATGCTCGTGTGAATTGTATTTACATGGTTTCTACAATGATTTTTAACTATCAAATGGATACGGCAAAGATAAAACTGCATTATCTTTATCCCTAAATAGCGAACAAATCTTCAGGAAGTCTGAATAATCTTACACCTGTATTTTATCTTATACTTACACTTAAAACCACACTTTCATATTCCGAAATGTTTTGAGTATATAATAATAATTATGAAAGAAAACAATAATGCCAAACGGGTGTGTTTTATAACTAACCCCTTTTGCATATGTCGGCTTCTACAAAACTCGAATATGTAATGTACAGGTTACTAAGAAAAACGTTGACGAAAATAGACCTTAATACAGGAACTGAATTCAAGTCAGGTGTTCGAGGAGCGAATTCTCATAATGAAGAATTGTTAGATATTTTGAAGCTGTTTTGTTTTCGATCCACTCTTTCCTTGTTTTCTCGCTGGCTTTGGAATTCATATACATTAACCTGTTTTATGGAGACCTTAAAATCATAACCGATTCAGTGATTTATTGAAAAAAAAAATATCGGAAAAAAACATACACGACTTATCATTTTAGAAAACGCGAATGATACAGACGGAGAAGCTACGTATAAAATATATTATCTTTATTATCTTTTTTTTTTCTTTCTTTTTTGTAGGTTAAACTTTGATGATCTACCGCAGTATTTTTCTCGGTATTATCAGATTATTTGGACTGTCACGTGATATCTTTGAAAATACATAAAACTTAACCATTTGGATTAATGATATAATAAGATGGTTGCCGACATCGATGACTAATTTGCATTATTGTGAATTCGCGGTTGATAATCTAATATTACCATTATCATCTATATCACATATATCCCCTTTATCATTATCAATATCATCGCTATTATCATCATAAGTATTATCATCATCGCCAATATTATTGCTAATGTTACCATCATAAGTAGACTGCTGTCGATGTCATGATCATAAGGATATCAATAGTGCCACCATCATCAATTACTATTGCTTTTATCATTACTGCTACGGCTACTACTATTGTTATTATGATGATGATGAGTGTTATTATTGTTATAATTATTATTGTTGTTTTTGTTCTTGTTTTCGTAGTTTTGCTGTTGTTGTTGTAGGTGGTAATATGGCCCTCACTTATGTTTTTTTACAGTTGATGTTGTTAATAAATCCTTTGTGTGTATTTGTATATATATATATATATATATATATATATATATATATATATATATATATATATGTGTGTGTGTGTGTGTGTGTGTGTGTGTGTGTGTGTGTGTGTGTGTGTGTGTGTGTGTGTGTGTGTACATATAACATACATACATATATATATATA